GGTCCATGTGTGGCCCCAACACCACCTGTAAGGGTCATGGCTTGTGAGCCACCTGCCCTGGTGGAACTGGTGGCTGCCGTGAGGGATGTGGGTGGTCAGCTGCAGAGACTGACCCAGGTCGTGGAACAGGACCGGCAGGAGCGCCAAGCCCTGCTGCTGGGGCTGACCCAGCTGGTAGAGGCTGCCCGGGGTCTGGGGCAGCTGGGTGAGGCCATGAAGAGAGTGGTAGAGATGGCCTGGACCACCAGCATGCCTGCACCAACCACTACTACCCCAGAGGAAGAAGAAAGGCCTCTGAGGGGAGACGTGTGACCCTCTCCAGGATTTGAGGGGCGTAAGACATTCCCGATCAAAACAAAACAAAAAAAACCAAAGTGCCTAATTAAAAACAAGGTGTGGATGGTGTTTTTGGGAAATTCTAGAGAAATAGAATTACAAGATTGATCTTGATATGTGAATAGCCCAGGTGCCATGCAAGGCGGTGTTGACGATGGGGATGATTATGAGGATGGTGATGATGGTGATGATCTTGATGGTGATCGTGATAGGAGGACGATCACTGTGGTGAGGATCATGATAATGAGAATGGTAAGATGGTGGTGGTGGTGGTGGTGGTGGTGAAGATGGTGAAATAATGCTGATGATCATGAGGGAATGGTCATGGTGTTGAGGCAGTGACTATAATGATGGTGGTGGTGGTGATGGTGGTAATGATGATGATGATGATGAAGATGGTGATGGTGGTGGTGATGATGGTGATGATCACAGTGATGATGATGGTGTTGGTCATGAGGGAGTGGTCATGGGGATGAGGGAATGATAGTAATGATGATGGTGGTGGTGGTGGTGATGGTAGGAATGTTGATGATGATGATGAAGATGGTGAAATGATGGTGATGCTGATAGTGATGATCGTGAGAGAACTGTCATGGTGATGAGGCAATGACCATGATGATGATGGTGGTGATGATGATGGTGATGATCACAGTGATGATGATGGTGCTGGTCATGAGGGAGTGGTCATGGTGATGAGGGAATGATGGTAATGATGATGGTGGTGGTGGTGATGATGGTGATAAGGGTGATTATGGGGATGATGGTCACATTGATGGTGATGGTGATGGTGGTAGTGGTGGTGATAATGATGGCAATGATGGTGTGAAAGGTGATCATGGTGGTGATGACTGTGAAGGAACAGCCGTGGTGACGAGGCAATGATGGTAATGATGATGATGGTGATGGTGATGATGTTGGTGATTATGGTGGTAAAGATGATCCCGGTGGTGACTGTGGTGATGGCTGTGACAATGATGAAGCTTCACGTGAGCAAAAACTTGGCCTTGTTCATGGATGGAAGCCCAGTTTCTAGGAAAGAAGCCGATGCAGAGTACACACTCGATAATTAATATCTTTTGAATGAAAGAGTGCATCATCATCATCATCATGACTAATATTTCTTGGGCACTTCCTATGTGTCAGGCTCTGTTTTAAGGGCTTTGCATGGATGGTGATGTCATTTTGTCGTAACGAGTGCCTGCCGAGGAGGGTACTGTTACCACGGCTCAGCAGATGAGGAGGTGCGTATTGCAGCCTGGATTCCTGAGTTTGAGTCCTTGCTGGGAGTAAACATAAACCAGTTACTTAACCTCTGGGTCTCATCTTCTCCAACTATAAAACAGGGATAATAATAGTACACATGCCTCATGGGGTTGCTGTAATGATTGAATAAGTTAATACCTAGGGGAGTGCTTACGATGGCTCTTGACAAGCGCCCGTCGTGTGAGAGCAATTATTGTATTTATCCCCATTCTGCAGATCTGGGCATCCAGGCACAGAGAGGTTTGGTCATGTGCCCCGGATCACTCAGGGAACACGTGGTGGGCCATGCTTGGCACGCAGGGCCCTTGCTGTTAAAATAATATTTCGGCTGGCCATAGTGGCTCATGTCTATAATCCCAGCACTTTGGGAAGCCAAGGTGGGAGGATGGCTTGAGGCCTGGAGTTCCAGACCAGAAACATAGTGAGACCCCCATCTTTATTAAAAAAGAAAGAAAGAGGCCGGGCGCGGTGGCTCAAGCCTGTAATCCCAGCACTTTGGGAGGCCGAGACGGGCGGATCACGAGGTCAGGAGATCGAGACCATCCTGGCTAATACGGTGAAACCCCGTCTCTACTAAAAATACAAAAAAAAACTAGCCGGGCGAGGTGGCGGGCGCCTGTGGTCCCAGCTACTCGGGAGGCTGAGGCAGGAGAATGGCGGGAACCCGGGAGGCGGAGTTTGCAGTGAGCTGAGGTCCGGCCACTGCACTCCAGCCTGGGCGACAGAGCGAAACTCCGTCTCAAAAAAAAAAAAAAAAAAAAAAGAAAGAAAGAAAGAAAGAAAATATTCCACAGCGGTGTCAGACTGACCTGGGTTCAAGTTCTGGCTTAACCATGTCCCGCCTGTGGAACTCTGGCAGTTTCCCTCCCTTCTCTGAGCCTCAGTTTTCTCACCTGTAAAATGGGAAGAGCAATAGCACCTGCCTCGTGGGGTTGTGAGGATTAAATGTGGCAGTGCGGATAAGGACAACGTGGCGTGTAGAATGTGCTCGGTTAACGACAGTGCTTGTGACCACGCCTGCCTGTACTTTTCTGTGCTAACGCTGCATGGACTTTTAATATACTACATCCAGTCCTCACCACAGCCCTTTGAGGGAGGAACTTTGATCCCCGTTTCAGACAGGACTCTGAGGCTCAGAGAGGGCAGGCCCCTTGCCAAAGGGCACACAGCAGAGCCAGAGACTCAAACCCTGAATACGGTGATAGGAATTTCTGTGCTTTGACCGTGGCCTGGGTTTCCAGATTAGGGCTTCCATGGCTGCCCCACTCCAAGCGACCGTGGGTGGGCTCCTTCCCATCTCTGTGCCTCAGCTTGCTGGTTTGTAAATTGGGGGCCGTCTTGGAAGACCCCGCTACTCTGATTCTGCCTCCTGCAGCCTCAGGCAGGAAACCATTTCCTCCTCCTCCTCCTCTCTCGGCTCAGAGGTCGTGGAAGGTGATAGAGGCTGGCGCCCCCGCAGACCTGCAAAGGCCAACAGGGTCCAGTTACTTGCGTGGCGGGGGGAGGGGGGCGGATAATGTCTGGGGGTCCTGATGGAGGAACTGTGTGCTCCTGCCAGCGGGCGAAGGAGCACGCTGAGAATTCTGTTCCCCAGATCTCATTAAGCCCCGAGACTTAAATAACTGCTGACTGGTTCCCTGGGGAGGCTGAGGGGAGAGCTTCTGCCCTGGGTAGTCAAGGGGTCACAGGGCAGCACCCCAACGTGGAAGAAAACGGCTCCTTTTCCATGTCCAGGTGGGAGCAGATGAACCCTCGCTTTGGGTCACCCCCATCAAAAGTAACAGAGGGCCCAGCCTGGGGCTCGGGCTCCCGGCCCCTCTCTGAAGGCTAGAGGTGGAGGGGGGTGCTGTCGGGCACTCTGGTCTTAGGCCCCTCCGCCCCCTGCCACCTTCTGCCAGCTCTGTAGAAGGTAGTGCTTAATTACCCAGTCACTCTATCCCTGCTTGGCCAGGCAGTTAAGCCCAAACATCTGGCCCCAGGGCCCACGGCCAGAATGGGTGGCCAGCCCCCGCCCACTGCTGGCCCTGGCTCCGGACACCTCCCACGGGACAGCTGAGCTCGATCCTCTGCCTGCCAGCTTGCAATGAACCCAAAACAGTAGCTGCATAGGCCCAGCAAGCTCAGTTGACACAGAGAAAAACATATGATGAAATTCAACAGCCATTATGGTACATGCTACACACACACACACACACACACACACACACACACACAACAAAGCTGGAGCAGAGAGGACTTCCTTCATGAGATAAGGGGTATGAAGGAAGACACATATCTTTGATTTTCCCTGGGCATCGGACATGGTCTCCTATGAGCGCTGACACAGGAGGGTCCGAAGAACGCAGCAGGTAAGCGGTTTGCGTGAGTGAGAGCTGGGTCCGATGCTGGATCCGTACTCTAAAGTCATCTTCTCATATTCCTGGCACCTCAATATGTGACCCACAGGCCTGCAGCATTGGCCTCA